CTCCTCCTCGTGCTCCTCCTACGGGAGGGTGCATTGCAGCATCGTTGATGCATCCTGGCTCCACTCTGAGTTTCTTCCTCCTCCTCCTCATCATCATCATCATCATCCTGCTCCTCTTACGGGAGGGTGCATTGCAGCATCGTTGATGCACCCCGGCTTCACTCTGGACCTCCTCCTTCTCCTCCTCCTACTCCTCCTCGCCCTCCTCCTCGCCCTCCTCCTCTGCCCTCTCCTCATCCGCTCCCCATCCCCCACAGCGTCCACCAATTTCGCTAGCGGAGGCGCCAAAACCATTGAAAAACCAAAGAAATCCAAACAAATCCAATTAATCCCTGTGAGGGTTCCAAAAAAACAAAAATAACCAATTATTCTGCAACTTAGTCGGTCTGGGGCTCGTGGGGCTGGAAATCCAAAATAATTGGAAAACCTTTGAAAAACCAAAGAAATCCAAAAAAATCCAATTAATCCCTGTGAGGGTACCAAAAAAAACAAAATAACCAATTATTCCGGAACTTAGTCGGATTGAAGATGGCCCGCCAGCCCTTCGAGCCCCAGACCGACTAAGTTGCAGAATACTTTGTTTTTTTGGTTTTTGGGGTACCCTCACAGGGATTAATTGGATTTGTTTTCATTTTTTTGGTTTTTCAATTGTTTTCCAATGTTTTTGGATTCCCAGCCCCCCGAGCCCCAGACCGACTAAGTTGCGAAATGATTGTTTTTTTTGGTTCTTTTGGAACCCTCACAGGGATTAATTGGATTTGGTTTGGTTTTATTGGTTTTTCAATGGTTTTGGTGCTGTTATCTCCGACTGATCCTTCCCCCTCCTCCTCATCATCATACTCCTCCTCATGGTTCAACGCACGTGGGAGGTTCACACACGCATGGCAGCGGAACAACACATACAACCAACAGCAGACATGAGACACGCAACAGCGCAGCAAAGAAGTAGCACAACAAGTTAAACGCAGCACAGCGAAAACACACAGGCTACCAAACAGCCCCTCAGCTACTACTACTACTACTACTACTACTACTACTACTACTACTACTACTACTACTACTACTACTACTACTACTACTACTACTACTACTACTTACTACTACTACTACTACTACTACTACTACTACTACTACTACTACTACTACTACTACTACTACTACTACTACTACTACTACTACTACTACTACTACTACTACTACTACTACTACTGCTACTACTACTACTACTACTACTACTACTACTAACTACTACTACTACGACTACTACTACTACTACTACTACTACTACTACTACTACTACTACTACTACTACTACTACTACTACTACTACTACTACTACTACTACTACTACTACTACTACTACTACGCTACTACTACTACTACTACTACTACTACTACTACTACTACTACTACTACTACTACTACTACTACTACTACTACTACTACTACTACTACTACTACTACTACTACTACTACTACTACTACTACTACTACTACTACTACTACTACTACTACTACTACTACTACTACTACTACTACTACTACTACTACTACTACTACTACTACTACTACTACTACTACTACTACTACTACTACTACTACTACTACTACTACTACTACTACTACTACTACTACGACTACGACTACTACTACTACTACTACTACTACTACTACTACTACCACCACTACTACTGCTACTACCACTTCTTCTTCTACCACCACTACTACTACTACTACTACTACTACTACTACTACTACTGCTGCTGCTGCTGCTGCTGCTGCTGCTGCTGCTGCTGCTACTACTACTACTACTACTACTACTGCTGCTGCTACTACTACTACTACTACTACTACTACTACTACTACTACTACCCATGCCTCCGCATCTGGTCTCCATCCGAATGGCCATGTCGGTACACCCATCGCGCGGTCCCTCCCCCATAGGGAGCTCCACCTCTGGCCCCAGTGGGCCAGCTCACATGGCGGCTCCATGCCCATTCTGGCGCACCCTTCGCGCGAATCGTGCCCCACTTCGAGCTCCACTTACGACCTCAGTGGGCCAGTTCCTACAGCGGCGCCGCATCCGTTCCCGCGCACCCCTCGTGCGGATATTCTCTCACATCGGCCGCGAGCTCGGGGGGGAAAGTGAGAAGGAGACGGCCCTCTCTGGAGGCTCGGAAGTCGTGCCCCACGGTGCAGCGCGCCTCCTGCGCGCCTGCTCCGCGGCCCCCAGCTCGCACTGTCTCGCCGAGCGCTGCACGTGAGGAGAAGGCCGCGCCCCACACTGCACGCAGCTGCACTGTAGTTGGGCCCTTCGCCTGGGTAACGGTCTAAGGGCTTCTCAGAAGGAGGCGGGGCTTCTCAAAAGTCCCGCCGTCTTCTCAGAGGTCTCTGGGAAGGTCCGCCCCTTCTCACGTCGCCCCCTCGCTCGCCGCCGATACACGCAGCTACACAGAGTTGGGCCTTTCGCCAGGGTAGTCGTTGTGTGCTTTTGCAGTGGGCCACAACAGAAGGTTCGTTCGCGAAGTGTTCCACGGGAAGCACCTCGGACTTGTTCCGCAGGCCCGAAGGACTTTAAACTGTTTTCGGTGAGCCCCCAAGGATTTCAATAAACCACAGAAGGCTCCAGGAGGTCCCTGGATGCACCTGGGCAGCTTCTTGAGACACCCTTTGTTGCAGAAGCTTTTCGCCGTCCTGGAGATTCCGTGGGCTTTCGCGCATGCGTCCACAGGCCTCCGCGGGACCTCCAGAAGGTCCCAGGGAGCCTTCCCGCAGGGGCCTCCAGGGGCTTGAACTCCGACTACTTTCAGCGACCTGTAGGTCCTCTCAGAGTATGTAAGGAAGTTGTCAGGGGATGGGAAGGTCCCGAAGCTCCCAGGAGGCTTGCATTGGGCCTCCTCAGCTGGAGTTTCACAGGCGACGCCCAATCCTGGCGAGCACGAGAAGAGCTCCCGAGGCCTGAGGCAGTCTTCCATGGGGCCTCTCCGAGAGGGCTCCGGCAGAGCTCGCGTCTGCATGGCCATCGGCAGGACCTTATCGTTGGAAACGGTTCAGGCGCGGATAGTCGTAACAGGACACTCCACGCGCACGCCCAGGTGCCTCCCAAGCGGACGGACTTGCGCCGTTGATGCCTTGAAGGGGTGTGGGGTGCTCGTCGCCACACCTGGATTCGGCTCGGCAGGTGGCGCCGGGCCGGCTGTCTGCAGGCCCTGGCGCTCCATTCGCACTGGAAGCTTGGCCAGCGCCTCCCCTGGGCAAGCCTGCTTAGTGAGGCACATGAAGCCCTCTTTCGAGCATGAGTCCATTGGGGACTTCGAGGTGAAAGAGACAAGGACAACTGCGCAGAGGTAGTATCGACATCCTGGTGGCAGGCAGGGAAGGGGGAGGGACTCTCAGGAACCATCCCGATCGTCCACAAAACGGGCGGCTTGAATGATTCTGTCCAAGGCTTAGACGGGCCTTGTCTCATGTCCAGTCTTGATCGTGCCCCGCGCCCAATCATGATCTCACAACTTTCGAAATCGGGTCTCACTCTTGCAACCAATAGCATGTAAGAGCACAAAACACGTCATGTGACTTGTGTGAGTGTGCCCGCCAAGGTCAAGAGCTTTTACGACGATGAGGCCAGCGCAACAGGGTTCCATGTATATCCGTTGGAGGGGGTGGAGGCGGTTCATGCTTCTTGTTATTCTTGCTGTTGAAGTTCCGTAGTAGGCGTCGGGAGCAGTTATGTCAACGATTGTCCCAGGGATGTGCGCTACGAAGCTTTCAAGCGATTGACAAAATATAGTCAATTACGAGTGCATGTCTCTGGTGCAAAGAAAGAATGGATGAATGCTTACAGTCATCCATGCTAAAGGAACGTTTCGTCTGCTTGCTGGCAAAGCCGAATGTCGAAGTAAAGCACCCGGATCGCATAGAAGCACCCAGGATATTGACATTGCTTGGACAGATCCCATGCAATAAGACCCAATCGTAAAGTTGTTCTCGGTGCAGCATTCGTTATCATCGATTCTGGCGGCGGGGAAGCTCGTCACTTCCTCCGACGACTAAGCTCCAAGATGAAATACCAGACGAGACGAAGAGTGAATAGGGCACGCGCAAATGCAACTTATGTACATTTCCTCGCCTAGCCACCGAAACCATTCAGACACTCTGAGATGGTTCCCAAGACGATCCAGACCTCACCCAAATTCCCTGAGACAGCCCCAGATGATTCAAGATGAGTCCAAGTCGGCTTCCAAGACCCCCCCTAAACAATTTCCAGATGTTCCAAGAAGGCTCGGAAAAAAACGAAAGCACCCCTAACAGATCACCGAGCAGCATCAAAGAGGACCCCAGGACAGCACAAGACCCCCCAACACATCCCACAGATAGCCCAAAGCAACCTCAAGGCGCCCAAAAAACTATTCAGGATGGTCAAAAGACGTTGGCTCCATGTTGGCCACAGGGGTCCCCTATCGAAGGTTTGGAGGGACTGGTAGAATCTCTACAACTTACTGTTGTTATGTGTGCCTGGTTTGGGAGAGAGTATTCGTCGCACGATGGTTAGGTTCTTTTCTATTGAAGCCAGGCCAAGAGGCCCCCAAGACAGTCCAAGAGGGCCCCGAGTCGCCGAAAAATCTTCAAGACGCCCACGGTGGACTTCAGACAGACCAAAAGGCCCCCAAAATTTCCTTGTTGCGAAAGCATTGGGCTAGTTTTCAAATTTGGTGCCTGCTGGGAAACAAGAGCAAAGCCTACTGTGTGAGCGTCCCTGCCTTTGGGGACCCACCGTGCAGCCCCAGCGCAGGCATTGCTGATCAATGCAGGCGCCGAGGTCCAACGCTTCACCAGCGAGTGGCAATGCGAAGAGAAGTGCAAAAGATATAAAGATAGAGAGAGAGAGAGAAAGAGGGAGGGAGAGAGTGACAAAGGGAAGCGGAAAAAGGGGGCAGGACGAAAATGGCATGAAGAAAGTGATGTTCGACGCGCTCGTCTTGTTCTACCGGCGTCCAGAGGCACTATATGTTTTGATTGCGAGCTTCAATGTGCGATGTGGCCGGATCCTTACGCACAATTTCAGAATTTTGCCGACGTACCGTTAGCTGCCACGAGGGGGCAAGGATTATTTCATGAGTGCGCCAAGGGCTATGACTGAGTAGCGCACACATCCCCAAACAGAAGGTAGTGCGCAGGAATTGCAGTGGATAGCTTCTGAGAGGATAAAACATCTCCAGGCATTCGCCCAGATCCAGAAGAACGGAATGCAGCAAGACTTCAGTTGGCCGAGGGCGATTGATGCTTACGAGCGTCATATTGACTTCACCCTCGCAGACCCTCCATGGTATGGGCGTAGATGATTATGAGCGCTGCGACGCGTCGCGCCCGTCTTTCTCCAGACAATTTTTTGCGTTCGCAAAGCAAATTAGTATATGCAGATCAGAATGGCCTGGTTTGCCGGGGCCTCGCGTGGAACCAAGTTTGCGTGTGACAGCACTTCCTGAGACCACAGTTCACTGTCGCCCACCCCCAGGCCTGCTCATGAGGACGCGTGAAGATGTGAGCGCCTGGTCTCGCACTCAACTGGATCGATTTGCCTCGGGATGCCCTCAGACATAGAAGAAGCCCAGAGGTGGCCAGGCCACAAGTTTGGTGGTGCTGGCAAGCATGTGGGGCCCATCCGAGTGTTCAGACGAGCTTGCTCAAAGTCCGCCACGTTTCCATCAGACCGTACGCCTTGCCATGCATCTTGTTGGGGCCATGCCGCCCCGTGCAGGTCCTTCGATAAACCCATACGCCCCACACACACACACACACACACACACACACACACACACACACACACTGATGCCCCCCCCCCCCCCCGCACCCTTCCCAGGAAGACCCTTCGTAAGAAGAATGTCAAAAAAGCATTCGGAGGGTGGCCAGGCGCGCGGAGAACGGCTGGGGGCTTTTGGCTAGCAGCCACTCGTTATGCAATCGTATTGCGCCGGTTGCGCAGACAGCAGAACAGACAATGCTCTGTAGAGGCCACGCGGATCAAGAAGCAGCCAGTGAACGTAGGGGGTAGCACCCAGTGCTCGAACGAGTAGCACGACGCCCTGTTTATGCCCTCGTGATTCCAGGCTGCCCCTCTCTGTTAGGTGTTTCGTTCCCCGTGGGATCGTGCATCCTTTCGAGGCCCAGAGGGAACAGTTTGGACAGAGCCTCTTAAAGAATCGTCTGACAGGCTGAAAGGCTCCAGGAAATAGAGAAACTGAGCGAAGGCGAGTTGTTGGAAAAGGTCTGACATGCAAAACGCGTTGTTCGACAATGTCGTGTTGGCGTGGTGGAATAGCCAGCGTGGGCAAGAGACAAGCGCAGCCACTACCTTAAAGGTGGTAGTATCCAATAGGCACTTGCAGTAGTGCTTCGCTTGCTCCTCTCCTGGACCTGAGAGATTCTTCAAGGAGCTTCCGCCTTTCCGCCGACCCCCACAAGGAGTGGGTGTTTGAGACGATCGTGGGAGTTAAATCTTGGGTCAGGGGCCTCCTGGATGAATATGAGGGTCTCTTGGGATGCCTCTCTGGGGCCTCTTGGAGAACTCTTGGGACATGTGGGAGGCTTTGGGAGGCCTTGTGGGGGCCTCTGGGGGACTTCTTGGGGGCGTCTTGGAGGCCTCTTGGGGCCTCTCGGAGGGCCCTCGGGGGCCTCTGGGGAGCTCGAGGGGCCATCTCTTTGGGAAAGCCTCGACATGTCAGTTCGTATTCCCCCTCTTGGGCTTTCTTGGAGCCCTCTTGGGCCATTTGGGCCGTCGTGCTCGCTGTCAAAGCGTATAATGCGAATGTGCTGAACATGTACTTGTTTGCAGCAGTAGCGCTTTGTTTGGTCTTCTCATGGGCCTGAGAGATTATCCACCCTGTACGATCGCGAGCCTGTGCCGGCAAGCACCCCACATAGTTTGGTGACTTTGCCGTTTTTCATGAAGAGCTGCCCCATGGCATCCCACCCAGAAGTAACGGGGGCATTTGCTTGTGGAACAGGAGTTGGCGAAGATTAGCGGACCAAGAACGGTACAAGATAAGTTTACCATCGGTGAGGATTGTCCCAGGCAGTTGGGAAGTTCAGATCCCGACATGTTACCATAGGTGTGTATATATATATATATACATATGCAAGACTGCAGTGGCGCTTCGCGCCACGCACCTTGGTCCTTGAAGTTTAATATGCAGGCGGAAAGGCAGGAAGGTCAAGCCGACAACTTAGCGATAACTCCTTGTTGCCTTTTCCAACATCGCCGCTAAAATGATGTTATTCGTTATCCTTCCTCCATGCTTCTTTGTCCTCGTTCTCGCCATACCCAGGGCATTTTCCTCATTCTCCTCAGTTCTTTGCGGAGGCTCCTCCTTGGAGAGCCTTTGGGGATCTCACGAAAGTTTCAGGCTTTCTTAAGGCCTTCTGGAGGCCTCCTGGGCGTGTTCTGGAGGTTCTGGGGGCTTCCTCGGGCCACCCTGCCTCCAACTGCGGTCTCCCTGAACGACCGGGTCACGATTTGGAATGCTTCGGAGGGTGTCTTGGGGCCGTCTTGGGCCGCCATGGGGCTCTTTTAGGGCCATCTTTGACCCCTGTTGTGCCGTTTTGGGGCTCTCAAGGACTGCCTGGAAGCCCTTTCGAATGATTGTGGGGCGATTTTGGAGCCTCCCAGGCGGCTTCGGACGCCCAGAAGACTGCCGTATTGGAGCGTCGGGAAGCCGAAAAGAGGAGAACCCAAAAATTCACACAAAAAAACCACAGAAAATCAATGATGATTGTCTCTTAGGGGCCTTCTTGGGAGTGCTCTTGGAGCCTTTTTGAGGCCTTTGGGGCCGTCCTGGAGGCCTCTTGGGCCATCTTGAGGTCACGTCGGTCACTCTTGGAGCGCTCTTGTGCTGTCTTGGGGGGCTCTGGGACGTCTCCGATGACCCCCCTGATCGCCCTAGGTGTGCTGGGAAGGCTTGGCAAGACGCCCTGCGAGGCCGGGGGGGCCGCTTCGAGGCCCGTCCGGAGGATCCCAAAGCCCCAGATCCCAGGAGTCCAGTTTTGGGGGGGTCCCCCCGCCCGGGCTTATCAAAATATAGGAAGAGGAATATGCATATACATATATACATATATGTATATACACACATACATACATACATACATACATACATACGTACATACATACATACATACATACATACATACATACATACATACATACATACATATGCATTGTCCCGCCATTGAACGCGGGGGCGATTGCGACAACAGATAAAGTACAGGTCTTCATCCCCTAGGAAGACCAGATCGACCGAAGAGGAAACGGGATCCCGTTTTCGAAATAACGGCCGATTACCATGCTTCTACCTGTTCAGGTTTCCGTTGACCTTGGAAGTGGCAGAGGGAGTGGGGATTCAACCCAGATTGCAAACATTCTGGCATGTCGCCACTATTCGTCACCATGCTGTTGTTATCGAAGACGCCTACGGCGAATCACCGCCGCCCCCTGCCTTGTAGGACACGCCTATGTAGCCAAAATGTTTGGGCAAAGTTTGACCACGCTATTGGACCATGCGTTCCCCCAGCCATAGTGGAAGCACTTCGGAGAACACGTGGGGGAGGAAGAGGAGGATAAGGAGAGGGAGAAAAAATGAGGATGAGGAGAAGGGAGACCTGCTGGGAGCTTCTGGGGTCATTATTGAGGCCTCCTGAGAGCTTCTTGGAGGCCTCTTGGAGCTATCTTGGGGGCCTCCTCAGGCCTCCTGGGGGCCTTTGGGGGCTTCTTGGGGGGCTTCTTTGGCAGTCTTACGGCGTTTCTGGCCCGTCTGACGCCGCTGGAAGCCGTATTGGAAGCTTCTCTGGGCCCTCTTGCGCTTCAGGGTCATCTTGAAGGCCATCTTGGGCGTCTTGGAGGCCTCGGGCCGTCCCGGTGCCCTTCGGGGGCCGTCTTAGGAGCCTCTTGGGCAATCTTTGGGGCCTCTTGGGCCGTCTTGGGCTGTCGGAAGGCCGTTTTGAGGCACATGCATGCCAAAACCTTGCAGGGGCATCTTAAGCGTTTCTTGAGCCGTCTTTGGCTCTCTTGGACTATCCTGGCGGTCTCGGGGGCATCTTGTCTTGTACCGTCTTGGAGGCCATCTCGATGCTATCTTGGGCTCTCTTGGGGCCGTCTTGCCCATCCTGGAGGCATCTTGGAGGCCATCTTGGGCCATCTTAGCCGTGTCGGAGGCGATTTGACCAACTAGGGTTGGGTTTTCCTGGGCTTTCATTCAGGGTGGCCTTCGGGCTGGGCCGAGACGGGGAGTTCTGCCGTGCACACCAGTGGCAAGCCACAGGGAGCGGCGGATAACGGCAGGCGCGCTTCGCGTGCGATCCCGTAGTCGGGCGGACAATTGTGGGGAGTTCGAGGGGGCTGGCAGCTGGACGCCCAGATCACGGAAAGCGCGCTTCGCGTGCGATCCGTTAGCCGGGAGGAAAAATTTAAGGGAATTCGAGCGGGTTGGCAGCCGGCCGCAAGCAGCGATTTCGCGAGGGACATTTTCCAAAAAAAGATATGTTCAACATCGTTTTGGGGTCGCTCTTGGAAGGCCCCAAGGCGGCCCAACATAGCCCAACAAGACGCCCCAAGAGGGTCTCAAGATGGCCCCAAGATGGCATCTTAGGCGATCTTGAGGCAATATTTGGGGCAGTCTTGGGCTGTCGGAAGGCCGTTTTGAAGCACAGGCCTCTTGGGCGCCTCTTGGGCCGTCTTGGGCTCTCTTGGACCATCTTGGCGGTCTCGGGGACATGTTGGGAACGTCTTGGAGGCCACCTTGGGGCAATATTTGGCTCTCTTGGGGCCGTCTTGGAGGCATCTTGGAGGCCATCTTGTATATGTGGGCTCTGTTGGGCGCCAGCTTGGCCGTCTTCTCGCTCCGCCTCGCTTCTAGCTCCTCCTCCTTTACTTTCTCCTCCTTGCTCCGTTCCTCGCTCCTCATCGCTCCTCCTCATGCTCCTACATGTTACTGTAGCTGCTGCTACTGCT